ATTCTGGTACCATAATCTCATAAATTTGTCTCTAAGGTGTTCCTCTTACACTTTCTTTTTTCTTCTAGCTATTCAAAGCAGAGCCTTTAGCAAAAGCTTATTTTTTATTCTTTATCTGCTTTTCAGCATGTTTCCTTTATTGTTGTAACTCACATTAAATTTATAGAAAATATCCTTCTATTCTTCTTTAATCAGAACTTTGCCAAGTCTTCCTTTAACCATATTATTTTCTTTTCTTTCTAGTTGAATTGGAAATAAAACTACTTACTTCTTTTATCCCACTTTTATTCTTAGCCTCTTTCAACAGAAAGAATTCCCTATGGGTGTCCTTATTTCCTACTGCCTATTCAAATGTTGTGTCAGAGTTACAAATATTGAGGCTTACTCATGTTCAGTCTTTTTCTGTAAAATAACAGCTCTGGTTTTAACATCGTTCACTTCTATGTTTATATGATATTGCAGGAGTACATTACAGAACATGTAGCTATATTTTTCCAAACTTTCCATCCCATAAAATTGTGGAACCCTTGTCAGGTTGAAGATCGACTGCTGGACTTTATGCCACTCTGATCCTCCTAATCATCACCTGAATGTTTTAAGTTTTGAGAAGTACATAATCTTAAGACAATGATGGAATTCAGTGCTGCATTGACTATTAACTATGCCTTAGTAGTTATATTCAAATTTGTCATAAACATTAAAATAGTACAAGCTGTTTGTAGTGCCATATGTTTAAAATCCTTTTATTAAGCTAGTCATCTTAGATATTCTTACTCTACAACAGCAAAGTGGGAGCAAATCTTCTGACTAATCAAATTGTCATCCTATTCTAAAGTACAGTTTCATTAAGCAATGTTTAAGTAAGGGATAAATACAGAGAACACACTTATTCTTGAATTCAGATGTATGATTTCGTGTATTAAACTAGGTGATAAGCACAACTACCATTCAAATACCTTACAAATGCATACTACAGTCACTCACAGTGACACTTCACCAGAACCTCATAAGCATTTCAAGCTGTGATAAAGTTCTCCATCTGAAAGTAGAAAATAACAAAGGCATGAAAATTCAGTCTTTGCCCAAACAGCACAGTGTGACAAGAAAGTAATATTTGAAGGATGAAAGAAAAATATTGGAGCCTGTTCTGTGGTAAAGAGAGGGAAAACCAGACCAAGCACAAAGATAAGTCTTTTTTCCTCCAAAAATCACTTTATGATTAGGGTTATTTTTCAGTTGGACAGACACAATATATCATTTATTTATTTATTTATATTTTGCTTCCTATTTCAACTTGAAAAGAAATTCCACTTTAAAATGTTCTAATTCTTCTAGTAATGCAAACATTCTAGCAAGTGCTTTAATCTTTTCATAATGTGATGGTCCTTCTTTAATGGTTAAAGGCAGGAAAGCCTTTTTAATTTTCCAGATTAACCTTTTATTTTGCTGAGTCAATAAGCATTTTAACTGAGCTAAATCATTACATGGTATTTACAAAATCATTTTAGATTTCTGGAATGCCCTGCAGTCCCAGGAATCCATTCTTTACATGCTCCTACAGAGCCAAAACCAATAGGGAATGGTAGGTTTAAAGGACAAATGTTGTGCATTTTAATGCTCTTGATTGTATTATACCAGCTCATCCTAGTGAAAAGATTTTTCCGTATAGACTTTGTCACTTTCCTTCTCAATAATTTTCTGTTATTAGCCCTACATGATAAACCTTGATGAATTTTCTGTATACAGGTTATCTGATTCATTATTATTAATTCTTATTGAACTCTCTTCAAAGAGAAGCAGCCATCACATACTGCATGAACACATCTTTATAATATTCTCTACCAAATACCAGTATATGGCATTTGGTAGATAGGATGGCATCTCCAACTCCTTTCTGGCTACATACAGTTCACTGAAAGGCTTTTGACAGCTTTCTTGTTATTCGGACTCAGCTGCATCAGTTATGCCAAATTGTCTTTGCTACACATGCAGACACATTAATTTTCTCTTTCCTCCCTGAACCAGTACTCCAGCGTTCCACACAAATCCTGAAACTCCTTACATTTCATGAATGTCCCTATTCTCATTTCCTAGAACATCTTTATTTTGCTTTCCTAGGAGCTGAGTTCGGTCATCACTTGAAAATGAAGTTGTTATAAAATAGCCGTGTTGACAGATGGCATAAACAGCATAGCTAATCAAATCTGCTCCAATGTTTTAATGGAAACAGGGAATTATCACCATGCTACAAAATGCAATCAGTAAAGCGGGTGGTGCGCCGAAATGCCAGTTTCCAGAGTTCTAAATCAACAGCACAGCAATAATAGTTGCTGCTGCAGCTGACATCTCGTGATATATGCCTCAAAGGAAGTTCACAAACAGGTTTGCCTGGAGCCTATCTCGTTCCTGATAAAGCTGCTTTCTGATAATATTGTTTGGACTCACCGTGCATCAGTAGGAAATGTTAAATAAACAGTGCTCAGGGTTCAATGTAATGTTTTTTAAGGCAGAGTCATCTCAAGAGTGCCTCACATGTTTGAAAGAGCCATTCCAAGTCCTTACATGTTGCATTCTATCTTTGGTAGTTTGTTAATGCCTAGGAAAAAGAAATTAACCCCAGCAATGTTAGTCACCACCATAATTCGGTGGTTTGTAAGAAAACATTTAAGGACTGTAAATGAGTGCACCTGGGATACATTTTTATTCATTTAATCTTTGGAGCCTTAAATTGGAAACCACTTAGATACAAGATAAAATCTAGGATAAAAGTTTGTTAATCCTTACTAGCTCTAAGTGCAGTTGGATTTGAAATGGACACAGAAGTTGCTAATGAAGTTCTTCAAACTTCAGAAAAAAGTAGGGGAGTCTAAAAAAAATATGTTCTATTCATACCTGGAATGTCACGTCATCATTTCTTCTTGCTTAGTAAGATTTTCCTGGTTCTTTCAGACATTCACGGAGACAGAACACCACAGAGATGGAGAAAGAGCACTCAGCTCCCAGCATGGCACTGATTCATTCACTCTTCATCAAGAAAACACTTTTTGCAGTGGCCTTTATTCATGGAATGTTTTGGGTTGGAAGGGACCTTTAAAGATTATCCAGTCCAGCCCCACTGACATGGGCAGGGGCATCTTGCACTGAATACAAGGTTGCAAAAAGCCCCATCCAACTGGACCTTGAACACTTCCAATGGGGCATTCACAACTTCTTTTGGTAACCTGTTCTAGTGACGCACCAGCATCACTGAAAAAATATTTCTTCCTTATGTCCAATATAAATCTATTCTCTTTCAATTTAAAACCATTGCCCCTTGTTCTGTCACTACAGGCTTTAATAAAAGATCTCTTTCTATCTTTTTTACAAGCCCTCTTTAAGTATTGAAAGTCTGCTATAAGGTTTTCCCATAGACTTCTCGTCTCCAGGCTGAACAACCCCAATTCTCTCAGCCTGTCTTCATAAGAGAGCTGCTCCAGTCCTGCGATCATCTTTGTGACCCTCTTCTGGACCTACTCCAGCAGGTCCATGTCCTGCCTATACTGGGGGCCTCATGCATTGAGAAGGAGATCTCTATTTCTTTGGAACACATTTCTTGTTTGGACATCTTTCTTCATTTCTGCTGTAGGTTTTTGGAGAAGTCAGTTGCTATAGAGTGTGTGATAATTTACACCTGTTAGCATTGGGGTACTTTTTTTGGTAATATTGCAAATGGTGGAATGTGGATCAGTGCAAGTATAACAAAAAAATGAACATTTTCTCAAAAACTTTTCTCAAAGACATTATATATTGTGCTCAGAATAACTATATGGAGAAGTGTCTTCACCCAAGCGTGTTGTTAACATTGTTTACATCTTCTTGTAACATCCTCTCCTACTGTAAAAATAATTCCACTGTTCCATTCTTCTAAATGCACCTGTTTACCTCAGTTGAAGTAGGGTAGTACTTGGCATGTCTTTTCATCTTTCAATTCTTTGAGAACAAAAAATTACCTCTTAAATATAGCTAACCATAACAGTGGCCTTATTTCCTTGTCTAGTCTTATTAAATGACAGCAAGAAAGTTGTTTGTTGTACAATGGCATCACCTTGTCTCATAACAAAATACTGCAGGAAATGAATGCAGGGAAAAAAAAAAGCAAATCCTCCAAAATAAAAAACCCCCTAACTGGGAAGAATCTTTTTCAAAGTTGAACATCATTCTTTAGTTATTTGCTTGTCATTTTAATAATGCTTTCTGTTTGCGATGTTGTCTAGGAAAACCTAACTTTATAACCACTGATAACACTCTTGTGAGATAGGGATTGCCAAGGGAGTCATTATATTGAAGTGTTACAAGTTTCTTAAAAATTTCTTTGTTACATATTGCAAATGAGAAAGAATATTGTAGACAGGTTATTAAACCCACCTAATTTGATAAGAAATGTGCACACAATTTAATTTTTCTGCATCTAGTGAAGAGGTAGAAGCAACTGTATGGTATTCTCTAATTGTCGTGAAGAGTGTTCAGAGGAGCTGTGAGCATTGATCACACTGGTATATGTGTATTTTGATGTCTCAGATCACTTTGACTGAAAAAACAGTGACTGGTTCACTGCATCCTTTGTGGGATTAATTTTTCCTGGCAAATTCTGGACAAAAAATAATTAAACCAATTTACATCCCTATGGTTGACATCAAACTTAAAAATGCTATGGGTCAGTGCAGTCTTAAGAATAATTAGCCAGTGGAAGGGAGATACTCCTATTTAAAAGCTATAGATAGATTGAAAAACTTAAAGTAAAACCTCATTCATTGAAGTACCTTTCAAAGTGGATTAAAGGAGTGACTCAGTGTAACAAACAGTATCTTGAATAAAAGTGATACGACAAATCATATTAATTTTAAATCACATCATTTACTTATTCTTTCTGTCACTCTCTTCTGTTCCTCTCCCTTCCTTTCTTATTCTTATTTTCCTCCGATTTCCATCGGAACAACTTCTATGTATTTCATCATTTAAAGATGCTCCAGTGGATTTGACCGTCACCGGCAAGATTGGGTAGACAGTGGCTGCCCTGAAGAGGTATGTGAGTAGTTTACATCCTCAGCCCATCAGAGGAAACTTATATAGATATGATGCTTTTGATTAAATTCTTCAGATTATGAAGCATGGTTTCAAGGCCAAAGACATTCTATAATTATCTTTATTATTCAGGGGAAATGCTATAATACATAATAAAGAAGAATAGGCTGAACAATTTCACTCTCCATTTGGTAGAATAAAATGGATATAAATTGAATTTTTATCCTTGAGAAAATACTTTAAATAACTTTTAAAAATTAAATTAACAACAAAAAACAACAAAACAAACCAAACAAAAAAAAAGGAGAAAAAAAAAGCCTACTCCAAAACAGTGTCCTGTGCTGATTTTCCTTTAGATCTCTGAATTTGCTGGGAAAGGGGAAGAAACTGTGATGTTCCTCACCTCAAAAAACTAGAGTAATTTTGAGTGCAAAACTGGCATTGTATTTTGATTATGAAATCTGGTCAAATCATTTAGTACAGAAGACATTACACAGATGAATTCAAAGAGATAAAATAAAAATTTTAAAAAAATTTAAAAAGCCCTCACAACCAACTTACAGGGCATTTGGATTTCCTTTCATGAGGAGGCAGTGAGAGGATGAGAAGGATACCTGATTGTGGTAGTGGCAGACTGTCAAACAGAGACTATAAACCTCCTCTGAAAGTTATTTGGGGTACTCCTAAACCAGAGCAGTTCGTTTTCAAGACACATATATAAATATGCTGCTGGTGTTTCTTTTCCAGTGTCCTCCCTTTATAAGGACCTTTAGTTTGGGAGTTGGTTTGGGTTTTTTTTCATTTTTCTTATTTCTCATTTGGGGATTGTGGTAATAGGAACAAATTAATTTGTGACACTTTTAATGTCCTGATGACCATAAAAAAAGAGCAGTTATTTTTCAATTTTTGCTGAAGGAGCTAAATTTTCTCATGAGTTTCAGCAACACAGGCCTTCTGAAGTGTAATGTCAGGTGAAAATCAGGGCAAAACAAAGCCCCAAGTGTCTAGTTAGAAAAGCACATTCTGTTTTATTCTCAGTAGAAGCAAAGAAGAATTATTTTTTTCTTATAACTGTAATTGCAAAATAACTGCATCCTACTTGCTGCCTTGTTACATAGCCTTGAAGCTTCAGCTTTGCAGTTTGTAATCTGCTGATTTAAGAACAAAATCTCTGTGAAGAGCAACCTCTTCAAGAACATAAGACAAAAGTTAGTGGGAGTGTGTGTTATTATAGTACATGACCTTTGTATGGCTTTAATCCAATTATAATTAGCTAGGACTCAGTTGTGCTTGTAAATGAAGTTACCCAAAAAATGCTTTCTGCAGGACAGTAGCATCCCATTCTGCTTTTCCTTTCTCATTTCAGTCCAGCTAGTGCTCCAAGGTTCAGTACACGATCTGAGAGGAAATTATCGATACACTTCGTGTAGCTGAGAAACTAATAAATTAATTTGCAAAGTTTCAGTCTATTTGATTGCAGTTCACTGTCCAGCTTTCAGGCTCTGGAGTAGAAGCAACAGCTTACTTAGCATCTTCAGAGTTACGCCTGAGCTGACTGCTAGAGTTCAATGAAGGATCAATAATTAACATACAATGGTTAATTTTAGATGCCTTCACTAAAGAGGATGAATAGCGGGGATTCTCATAACAGGGTTTCTTTATTTGTAATATATATTTTGAGCTAAATTTTTATAGTTTTCAAGAAAAAACACAAAGAAATTTGAAGAATAGTTATCCTGCAGGCACTGATACCTTTCTTTAATGTAATATATTGTTTTTGGTGAAACAAAGGATAATAAACTACCTGTGCATATTAAAAGAAAGACAGGGCCCACTGGGTTTTGACAGTCAGATCTCAATAAAATGAACAGGCTTTGCGGGATGCTACTTCTTATGAAAATGAATGAGGACAGCAGGAGTTAAGTGCAGTTCCCATATTTGCTGCAGGTTGATTGGGTGTATTTTCCTGCAAAACTGTGTGATCCATAAAAGAAATTATTCATTACATCTGCAGAATTTTAAAAATGTCCAGAAATTTTTAAAAAAAAACAACCAAAAAAAAACCCCAAAAAACAGACTCAAGATTTGTATCAAAACATTTGCCCATGAAAATAAAAATTAAATTATTAGATGATGATGACTATTATTTATAGTGTGCTAATATATTACAATAATTTTCTTCATTATTATTATTATAGTTTCTATTTAGAATATATTTTGTATAATAATTATTATAGATACAAATAATACATGATATTTTAATATTATGTAGAATTAATAGCCATATAGTGAATGTTTTGCTCTGTTGTAGTAAATAAATATTCTATAGGCTGAATACATGCACACATTTTACACATATTTGTGTGTTCTTCTGTGATAACTGCATGCAAAACCAAATTAAATGTTCCACTTAACTACACATTGTCCACTATGAAGAGCTACAGTTTAATTCCCACATATCCTTTTCAACATATGTTATGGCACCTGTATTGATGGCAGTGAGCTTTCATTATAGAAGAGTAAAAATATGAATTATAATCTTAGATGTTAAAATAATAACATGCTTGAAGATTTGGGAAGACTTTGAAGCCTTGTCATTAACAACTGAGAGTTGTAAATTTTACAGATAAATGAAAAAAAATACATGTTACTGAATGCAGTGTAGAGTACTTCAAAGAAAAAAAAAAGAAAATTAAAAGAAAAATCTCTTGAAATTTCTTGATTTAGGGTTTCTATTATAATTCACTTTATTCCGGCAGTTTGTCCATGCTTAAGTTCTTCATTCAGTGGCAGTCTCCACTTTAATTTTCTCTTCTTTGTTTCTGTTGTTTCCCCACAGGCAAAAGATAAGATCTGTGAAAAGAATATAGACACAACTGAAACACCTCCATACTCCACCACCACCCTTCTGCCAACCACCACAAGGTTCAGAGTTTTAACAACCACCAGGGGATCCACCACTTCCCACCTTCCAACTAGCCTGCCCACAGAAGGTGGCGTGTATACAATGCATTATTCTATAGTGCAAACAAGTCATTTAGAAGTCAAAAAGAAATTTATTTCCTTTAAGTATGTGTATTCGTGTTGACCTTTTTTCTCTGAGGCAGCGGAAGGAGTTGGAAATTGCAGTCAAGGCGATATCTGCTACAGGTTTTAATTTGCAACTCACTCTTGCAATAGTAAGGTGCAAGGGGATGAGGGCTGGAGGAAGGGATGATGCTGGAGAAACAAAGGCAAGTCAGGCAGACTTCTGGAAAACCTGAGATTACAATGAGTTTTTCATATTCCTTTACCATCAAGCCATAGTCCAAACCTGCTGAAATAGCAGTAGTAGAGAGCCCTATTAAAGTTAGTGAAGCAACTCCCACTACAGATTTAATCGATTTTTAATTCCTTTAGGAATTCTATTTAGCCAAGTGAAAATTATAGATAATCCAAATTAAAAACGTCTTTGAAATATGCCTGTTTGCTTTTTTTCAGTCAGTTGACACTGTTTTTTTCATGTAGTGCTCACTGTTGTTGTTGTGAAATAGTTTCTCTGGGCTTCTGAACAGAATTAACTGGGTAAGCGATGGTGTGTCAGTTCTCATCCTTGTTCCACTGGCTACTTAAACCTTGCCTTTCTGGGTTTGGGATACCCTGCTTTCCTGCTTTGGGAGAAAATTCAACTGGGCAGGAAAGTTAGATCAGATCAATCAAAGAAGATCTATAAAAAGTGTTTGCATCTGTCTGTTGGCATTGTATGTTAAGAGAAGAAAAGGTACTAAGTACAGGCAAATTTTCCAAGTGGCCTCTGACAGGAAAATTTGAGCTGAAGGCATTTTAAAGTGGGAATCTACTGATAGGAAAGTCTGGTTTTGTTTGCACCAATAAAAGTTTAGAAATATTCAGTACAGCATTTGGACTGCATTAAAAGGAATATTCCCTGGCATTTTGTTCATTAAAATTCACAAGAAGAAGAGGAATATGGAAATAAATATGATTTAATATTGGTAGACTTTTTCATGATTCTCAGAAGAGGAACTAAGTCATTGTCTTACTTTATTATCATATGTTGGGTCATATAATCCTTAATATGACAGAATGCTCAAGATATGTATGAACATATAACATAAATGAATTATTTGTAAACATTATGAGACAGACTCTAGTACCCTTATTTACCAGTATTTTGAATCCTCCTGTACACTCTCATAAATGATTTTTTTAGTGGTAAGGAGGTGAGGTAATGCTCAGCGTAAGAAACACCACAATCTAATTCTCATTGAGTTGAGTACCAAATAATTTTCTAGCTGTGGGATTTCTTTGATATTAGAAACTGATTCCTAAAATGACTCATGACCTAGAAAAATGCATTTTCCTTCAACTAACTCTGAATTTCCTTTATAGATGACACCAAGATTGCACTGCACCTAAAAGATAATGGAGGTAAGAGATTTATTTTTTCTGTAAGTAGTGGCAGTAATTTGTCAAATTAAACCCCACTGAACTTCACTAATCAAAATCAGATTGTAGAAATAGTTTTTCACCAGACTCCCATAGGACTTTAGCCTTCCACATCTGTGTGAAAGAAAAGGAGGGCAAATAAGCTTCAAAACTGCTTAGGAAAATTAAATATTTACAACTCTGTTTATAATTCTACAAAAAACCAGCAGGTTTAATTAACTTCTATGTATGGACATATTAAGTAAATTTTTAACTGTACTAATACAGTTATTGGTTATATGCTCTGCAAGGGACAGCTTTTGTCATCTTCTTTTTGGTTCAAGGACTGAGACCTGAGGTTTGTTCCTTCTCGCTTTGAAGTGGATGAGAATTTCCCTTCCCTTATTAGTTAGAACAGGACTGGGTTGTGAACACAGACCTGTGTCTGTGTTCACTGCCAATCTAGAACTTGATGAGGTGGAAGAGAAGATTTGGCTTGATTTCTGCAGCCTTCAGAATGGTCTATCAAACCAGAGGATGATTTTTTCAGCAAAATGAAATAAATTATATTTCCACTGATATAAAGGGGAATATTATTGGCTCTGATTGCCTTTCCAAGCAGGGAGCACCAAGCTTCTCTCATGGGTCAGGGGAACAGGCAGCCAAGCATAGCAGCAGGCACAGGCAGGGCGCAGGGTCAGTCCAGCAGCTCAGGGGAAGCAACTGTGGTGAACCCTGTGATGGTCTAGTCACCCTCAACTGAGTCTGCAGAAACAGTGCAGACCCAGGGTCAAGGTAGGAAGCCAGGTTGGCAAGGCAGCGAAGGAGCAGCAAGGTAGCAGGCCAGGGACAGCAACCAACAGCATAGCTCAGGCAGGACCCATCAGCAGTCCCAGAGGAAGTGAGGTGACGAACCAGGTCCATACAGAGATTCTGGTCAGTAGCAAAAGGAAAGACAGCTCCAAGGTCCATCCACGGAGACATGGCCCATGGGCAGGACTGGAGACAAGCTACCTTCAGCATTGGTCCAGGAGACAAGATCAAAGATGGGACTGAATACAGGTTCATCTACAATGTAACTTAAGTTTGGACCTGAGCTTACATGGAGATGCCAGTATGGTGGGCAGAGGTCCCAGGTGCAGCAGTCCAGAAAGGTGGGGTGTAGTGGTTTCTCAGGACCCTCACAGAGAATTATTCAAGTTTTGAAAAAACAGAGTGCAGAGGCAACTTAGCAAGTTGGTCTGTTTTCCTCTTGGTATTTTTCAGTCACATTCAGCCATTGTTTTCTCCTTCCCTCAAATTAGAGATCTTTTCACTCCACAGGAGGTAGTTGTCATCCACTTCCTTACCACTTTACTGTCACTAACTACAGGTTAGCGGTCACATAATAGCTGGTCACATGCTGTACTGGGCATTGAATTGTCCATTTGTTGGTGGTGCTGCTGTTTGACATTGCTTTAACACATAAGTGATCCCTTGGAATAAGGTGATCTGTAAGTTCAGGGTAGTACTTTTAGGCATTTTCTCTATAGGAATGTCCCTGAACATTCTTTCTCTTATTCTTCTGGAAATGAAATTATTATTTTGTTGTGAAAAGTGCTTCAGTGCTCTTAAAGGTCAATAGTCAGCACTTCACTCTCCTGTTCTGCTCTGTACAGGAGGTATATTCCCAGCTGAACTGTGCCCACGCTCTGCCCCACGAGCCAATGCCCCATGGCAGGTGGTGAACCTGGGACTAGGCAGCTCTCCATCATATGCATCTCAAACACAGCTCAAAATAGTATGCTGATATATAAAAAACAATTTAAAAATTAGGGTTTATAAAACACATCCAAGTTTCTTTCAGTTCGGGAATTGCAACAGGATTATTTTTTGACTTGTCTACTCTTTGACCAAGATCTGAAAAGAAAAACTCCGTAAAAGTAAACAAAATGTGGAATACTAGAGAAAGTGATAGATGACTGTGGCCTACTTGGTAGAGTGAGATGTAGGGTTTGTAGTATTAGTTATCTTAAATATAGAACATTCATGTCCACTGAGAAAGCTGCTACATTTTAGGAGGACAAACCAACACCTGATGTGATTATTCATTTTCCTTGAGCTGCTTCTTTTATTCTTGAAATTTAAAAAAAAAATGAAAATTACTTCAAACAACACAAAAGCAAAGCAACACTCCAGGATTTCTCATTCACACAGTAAACGTAGCTTTTAATCTGAGAAGTTCTTTTTGATGAATCTTCAATTATGCATTGAATTTTCCAGTGACCCCTAGATTAGACTCAGATAAAACCTCTGCAGCCGCAGGCACATTCTTTGATTCTCTATACTTTGTTAGCCTTTCATAAAGAGTAGATTATTCCAGGTCACGAATACAGGGTCTTTACTTTCTCACACTAAATCCTTTAAAACTCTAATGAAAGGGAACCTTTTAAAATAGAAAACCAAAGCTATATTGGATCAATGATTGCCTATAGTTTGATGTATCCTTGGGTGATAGCAGTCAATATCTAGTTAGGTACAACAAAAGGATTCCATAGAAATTCTGCATCTCACCTCTGCCTGAAACTTTTGAAACCAAATATTATAAATCAATAACTAAATTTAAATTAAGTCTTGTATTCTGGTCATACTGATTTGATCTTTCAATTATGTGTGAAAATCACTTGCAACTGTCCTGTTATTCACCCACAATCTTTTGTGGCATATCTTAATGTACATTTCAAATTTGTGTGTTTCTCTTTCTTTACAGGCAGGACAGATGCCTATTGCATACATGCCTAAACCATTTTAAAATACTGCTGGCATGCCATCACAATTTTTGTTGTATCTTGGTTGTCCTTAAAATAAAATGCCTTTTATAAGTTTTAAGATATATCCAGCACTAAAAAAGTACATTTTTTTATTAATTGCAGATTCTATTTTTTTTTTAATTTTTCTTGAAATACAACACAGCCAACTAAACAGTTTAAAAGCCTAATTTTTCATAAAAATTGTGAGCAATTGGCTGTGGCTAGCCAGTAATGTAGTATTTTCTTCTTGAGAACTCTTTGGTGGATGATTTAGATGATTGGCCAGCACATCTAGACATTTTATTTGACCTTTTTAGACAATTTGTTGTGATGATTTGATTGCAATGAGTCCCTCGCAGTCCTTCAGCTTTAAAACTCAAAAGAAAAGTCTTTGTCTCTTGGGTAGCAGGTGTTGGACAAAATGCTACACTTCTCATTCGTCAAAATGTACAGAAATGACTGTTTCAAAAAAAGGAAAACTGTGCAAAAAAAAAAAAACCTACCTGAGGGAGAAAGCTATTTTATTTATTTGTGAACAAGTTCATCCCAGCAGTAGTGCTAGGAAATGCCTGTGTCCTGCTACTTTCACTCTCTTGCGGACATTTTCAAAGATGGTCTAGATCCTAACATCAGTGATGGACAGGATTAACATTAATGCTATATAGAGAGTTCAATTTGAGCTTGAGGGATTAGGAAACTCAATAACAAATTACTAATATGCAGACCCAAGCCAGATATAAAATGATATATGGTATCTACTCTTACAGTTGCCAGGATTTTGCTGTAAAGGCACACAGCTGATTTTCTTAAACATATTAATTTTGTGGACTTTGTACACGCTCAAGGCTTAATATGAAAACCCCATGTAGCTCTAAATGCAGATGTTAAGGAGGGCTACATGTAAATAACTGGATAACCTTTTAATGCAAGGCTGCATTACTTAATGTTTTATCTTATCATCTTATCATCTGCTCCTGTTGGTGTCACAGTGTGACAGTTAGGGCACACAAAGCTCCTGTGATCTCTCTTTCTAACTGCCTATTCCACATAGTGTTAACCCAGTATTTGCTGCCAGAAACCTCTTGCAGTCTCCTCTGCACTACTTACTCATCTTTGACATCAGTGTGCAGGGGTAACTGTGAAGGTCCAGTGAAAGAAGGTTAATAAGAGCTGGACGTTTTGCACTGAAGTACCTGAAATTGTTCTGTCTCCAAAAGGTGTGGTGGGCACAGGGGTGTGTAACTCTGCAAACATTAGACACAGCTTTAGAGAGGAACTGCCTGCTTGATGCTATTGTCTTGTGTTTGCTTGCAATACGGTCAAGTGGAGTCAATGGACTGACTGAATCAAAATTCTTAAAATCTGGTAACTTTTTGCTTATCTGGATTTGAGTCAGCTACCTTTCCAGGCCAAACATTGCAGTCCTCCATGGTACAATATTGAGCTACATAATGACCCCTTCTTGATGCTACTAAGTATTGTAATGGCTTCCATGGCCTCAAGCAATTCAAAATAAAACTAATACAGATGAAAACAGTTGTAGCATTATATCATATTTTAGAGAAGAAGAATGAAAGCCCTTACCTAACACATTTAGAGTGCTGTCATCCTATGAACAGAGGGATTTGATATTAATGTGCTTTCATCAATTTACTACACTAAGAAGTTGATCAATCTTGGAGAGACTTACTGAGTTGCCCTGGGTCCTGCAAAATATTGATAGCACAGCCAGATACTGAATTCAGAATCTGTGGGTTACAGTTCCTAATATTCTCACTCAAAGACCACCTTTCACTTTTTACATGCAACTGGAAATCAATTTTTAAAGCATTAGCTAAGCCATAACTGAATAAATCATCATGAAATTACGTAAAGTGTAACAGTGGTTTAACCTCAAAATGTTAACAAATGCTAAGGTAATGAATCCACAATTCAGGAAAATCACACACCGTTACTGTGAAGTTGAGAACCCCAGAGCATGCTATTCTTAAAAGAGGTAGAGAGAAAATTTTTATGGATATTCCTCTGAGCCTCCTTCCAAGTGTACTTCCGTTATTCCTTCCCTGTACTCCTTCCCTTATTCCCTCCCACAGTTACTATATGTAGGTCATTAATCATCTTTTCAGAAATCTGCATTATGTACAAGAAAAAGCTTAGGTTTGGAGAACCATATACCTGCTCCATAAAACAAGGAGCCTCCTGGTAGATTCACAT